CAAAATTTTGATCAGTGAATTTATTTTAACGAAATTTAACAGCAAAAGTAGATATATAATATTTCTAAACCAATATGGCACATGGATATGACTTAAGAAATCCAAAACGACCACGGCCAACGGACGATCCCAACGGTTGCTTGTACAGTGAAGGTTAGACAATTTTAATGTACACTGGAACTTGGAGTTATTTTCTGTATTTCAAAAAATAGGTGATGAAGTGATAGCACAAGATCCACGGAATCCTCGGGATAAGACATGATATGACGCTGAAATTAAAGAGTGTATTCGAGGCGGGGAATTGTATCATGTTCATTACATAAATTGGCACGACGAGAAGTAATATGTTTTAATGCTTTAATTAAAATATATAATAATGAAATGAAATTTTTTGACGTGAAAAAAAAACAGGTATGACTTGAAATTGTCTGGAAAGTATATAAGGGAAAAAAATGCCCCGAAAAAACGAAGAGTTACACGACGACAGAAAAGTCCACCACGACCAGTAATACTACCACCACCACAGCAACCAATACAACGACCACGTTCAGACGGAATACTTCAGTACCAAATGAAAAAATCCAGATGTAGTAGATGCCGGGCATGGCCTCAAAATAGCAATTCATTTCAAAGCGAAAAATAAATAAAAATAGAAAAGTTCTTGAAAAGAACATGGTCAGTGGAATGAAATATGTGAATTTCAAAAATAAAAATATATATTCAAAATGAAAATTATTTTTTCTATTTTTCCCTTTTTAAAAGACCTTTTATTTTGCAAACAAAGTTGTCGTTGGCTATATAGTCAAATGACTTTGAAAGTGAGAATGTTTCGTTGTAATTTGACGTCATGCATCCATAAAAGGAATCTTTATTACATCATTGGAAGCATGCATGTCAAAAGGTAAGTTGTGAATTGATTACGCAACCATTCATATATCGAGTCGCAAATAAACGTTTTCAATGCAAACAAAGAAATGAGAGTAGAAATGTTGGTTCATAAAACGCCTTGAAATTGTTTTCATGTATTTACTTTTAATCAAAATTGACAAAAAGGATTGATAATCCACAAAAAAATGTATATATGCAATCAGTTACTTTGAAAGCGATGAGTATAAATAAATAAATATTCATGGAATAGAAAATTCCAATTACTACTTCTGCACGAAAATCGATGTTGGTAAAAGCAAATCGAATCGCTGGAAAATCGAAACGTTTTTCTTCATACGGTATGTCATTGAGTGAAAAAAAAA